CTGAGCACTTGGAAACTTTGCAACTTTAATATAAAAATCTTAAGAATCACAACCTTACAGCACCACAATTTGTCCATTTGAGTTCCTTTCACTTTGTCAGTGTGTAGTATAGAACTGACTTAATCCATTCCAGCTTTGAAACTAATTGTTGCTTATATAATTTAATTACATTAACAGATTAATATTTCTTATGCAATTAACATGCATTGTTGTATCTTTTCATTGGAAACATAAGTTTGCATGGAAAATGGCCAAAATCTTAAAAACCTAATAAACACCAGAGACCAGTCCCCAAAAGAATGTAATCAAGACAAAGTGCAAGAAAATACTTTAACCTTCCTTGACTACCTGGTACACCAAGGAAAATAAGGCTTACTATTTCTGAAATGTCTCCCTCAGCTTCTCTCATTCAAATGTAGACTCTGATCAATTTCACCATCAATGCCATTGCACAGAGATAGCGCTCTAAGTAAACAAGACATATTTTTCAACTAGTGCAGCCCAATGAATGTGGTTAATAATTCATTGTGACTAATATTTTGTAAGGCTCTATGAGAAATATTAATTAGGATAATAGTAAAAGATGGTGTACTGTTCTGTGAAAAGCAGGAAACTGATTTTTGAGGTGATAATTCTAGAGAGCAGGATGAATAACTTCCCTCAAAAAGATAATTGGATGGCTGCTGAGAAGAGTTAGATGGTCCTTCCACCATAACTCTGCTCTGTCTTCCCCAAGATGCCTCCAAACCATTGCTGAACACGATAATGTGAGAAGCAGAAGAGAAATGGAGGGAATCAGAGAAGGGATGCAGCTTCAAAGTTTAAAAACTTCTTATAATTTCATAAAAATTAAAAAGTATTTGAAATGAGTTTAAGAATCTAGTAATTGTAAAGGCTGTTATTTTTCATGTTACGCCATGTGGAGTGATTAACCTTACTGAAAAAAATTAGTAAGTATATGACAAAAATAAGTGGATTTACATGGCCTCCTTATACTCGCTCTGGGCACATACTCATGCCATGACTTATCCCCCAGTTTAAACTATTTTATTCTATTTTACTTTCTTCATTTTCTTTTTCATCCAGGTAAGCATAATTCCATGCCCAAAGTTGACAAACTGTGAAATTTAACTGTATATCTCCCACTTACATTTTAATTGGAAAAAAATAACTTTTACATCAAAAGCCCAAACCCTAAGTGCAGAATTTCAGACAACAGTCAGTTGATAGAAGACGTGATTTTTCAGATCTTTCCTGGCAGTACTAAATTCCAGGTCTACAAACTGCCATTGACCTTGCCTGTTGCAGACTTAGTGTTTTTGAGATACAAGTTTCTTTGGAGATTAGACCAACTTTGGAGGACACTTATAGCAACCTCACCTTGATTTAGGGGAAATCCTTATTCCTTTCCTTTTATTCTCATCTTCTCTGTGTTCAAAACCCAGGGTTTTTAGAAGCAACATTATAGTCCACTCAGTTGCTCATTTATTTACAAACATTTTATGAATTCCCAAATTGTTTTTAGGCAATGTGCTGAATGCTGGTAAAACAAAAATGAACAAAGCACTGTCCCTTTCCCCAGTCACTGGAGAAGACAGTGCAATCACATGCTATTGGTGTTAAGACAGAAGTCTGTTCAGGGTTACACTTGGGGTCACAAAAAGTGAGTGGTAAATCCTACCTCCAATAATACCAAGATGTGTTCATATATCTACCATAGCTTAATTTAAAAAATTCTTATATTTGTACAGAAAATAGCATTAGAAAAATTAGTACTACAACCATGGTTGACCAGAAACCACATAATGCCTAAAAAGTTCTGATTTTTATTACAAATATTTATTATTGTTGCTCTACTATTACATTTGGCACATCTATGGGTTTTTTTTATTTCCAAAATGCTTTGCTAATCTGTAACTTATTATTACTTACAGCTTTTTTTGTTGAAAAGATTTTCCTACAGCAAGGTACCAAAAAGGCATTCTACTGAAAACATTTTAAATTACACTAGTTACCAAAAAGACTATCTTTATGTATTACTGTTCTATTGAAATTTTTCTTTTCAATCAAATTCCATTCATTTCTACATAATGCATGTCAATAACAGCTACCATGGAAAAATAACCACAAGCAAAAACTGTTTTTCTACCTGTCCTTATCTTTTGCCACTCCTCATGTTTCCTTCTATTTCTATTTGTGAAAGTTTGAAACCCTCCTTCTCGATGCCCTTAAATCCATAATTACTTCTTATGACAACTCTTTTGACGCCCACATTATAAATTATTCATTATTTTGAATGACGCCTTAATTTCAAATGCACTCTTGTACTCCTACTTTGTCTTCTGTATTTTTCTCCTATATTATTTTTATACTTTTAAATAATCTTGCTTTGAGACTTCTGGCATCTTTCTTTTTCTCTGAGAGATGCCCCTAGAATGCTGTTGCTACAGGGAATTTAAAAATCAAGTGATTCTGGTATTTCCCTTATTCGCTCTTACTTCATTTCTGCTTTCTTCCTTTGCTCTTCCCGTTCCTTACATCTAGAGTGTTCTCTTCTGCCCCATCTAGCCTGTCCTTTAGCCACTTCCTTCAAAACCTGATACAATATTAATTTCCTTCAGACAACTCTCCTGGACTAACCTACTCCAATTTACTGTTTCTCTCGACCTCTGGGAATGTCACTATAAACTATACATTTCATTCTCATTTACTTGGAAAGTGTTTGTTTTTGTAATTTCATTCAGCTATTTAGTTATACATTTTGTAATATTATTTATATAATTACTATATGCCTTTTCTAATTCCTGATTTTTCCTTATTAGTTTTAATGATAACCATTATTTTATAACATAAACATGTAATTGGTTGCTTACTATCTGTCTCTCCTGCTAGAATACAAGCCCTTTTGGATAACTGCTTATTGTTGTATCCCCAGAGCCTAAAAAATATACACAGTAATTGCTCAATTAATATTATAGTATCTTTGAAATATCATTTGGATATTAGTGAAATGAAAGTGCTCACAAATGCTTGCTGATTTTTTTAAACCCCATTTTGGCTGGAATGGCTCACACTTTTTGTAACAGGTGGGATGTATTTTGCTGTAAGATGCAGAAAACCTTACCAACACAGACTTAAATCGAAAGACACCAGCTGTTTACTTAGCCATAAGTCCAAAGGTAGGAAGTTCTAATGTTAGTTTGACTGTCCAAAGTTGTCATGCAGGACCTAGGTTCTTCCCATCCTCCTCCTTGGCCATCTGAAGTTGCTGGCTTTCTACGGTATTGCATCGTAATGCCATAATGCATCATAGCCCCAAAATGGTGGCCACATTCTTGTATTTCAATGTGTAAAGCAGGAAGTAAGGAGAGTGACATCAGAAAACAGGGATATTTCCTCACTCTTGTGAATATCCTAGAAATCCCTCCAGCCCCAGCAGCCTTCTCCCCATTCCGATGACAAGAACTGAGTCACATGCCTACTTCTGGACTAACGGTGGGCAGAGGGAAAGCAATGCTATTAAAGTCCAATCCTGATTCATCCCAGCTTCTTTGGCAAAAATAAAGGGAAACTGCTGGGTACGCAAGCAACACTGTGCCTGCTCTTCTGCTTTGTTAAATCAACCACACTGAAGCTCTGTTTTCCACAGAATCCTCCAGCTCTTAAGATTCTTCAGGCTTTTTCTTTTTTCTGCCTACATTTTAATCGTTACGCATTTTCTTTCAGATTTTTTTTTTCTGATCAAAATGGCCTTTTGAAACATCTACTCTGTCCACCCATACGTTTCTTTTATTGAGTTGTTCCCATACTCTTAATTTCTGCATTCTAATTCCTTTTCTTTTCAAAAACACCGAGACATATCACATTTTTAAAGGAAGAACAAAGTTTATTTTGGCCCTTCCTTTCCACTCCACATATATATTTCAGATTCTCAACTGTATTAGGAGCCTCAGAGGGCAAGAAACCATCGTCTGCTCTCCTTATAATTGCCAGCAGCATTTCACAGGTGCTAAAGGTACTTGACGTGCCCTTCCCCTTTATGGTTAATCAGAGGCAAGCAGGCTTTAATAAGAAGCAATAGGAATCAGGGTTTTACAGTCGAAAAGTACCCCTCGCATTACAAATATCCTCTACTAATTTGGTTCTATTAAATTCTCTGCATATTTGCTTCTTGCTGGTGTCAGGAAGTCCCAGAATACAGTGGATTTCCCACTTCATACCACCTTTTCCAACATCTTTCACAGAAAGAAAGGATGGACCTGGGTTTCCATGGTAACACAACTGCGATAATTGAAGGTATCTGGCTATAGGTGAGATAACTCCCTCTCAGATTTAGTGGAGGGAGGAGAAATGAAGATTTTCTTTCTTTTTATTCTCCTGGCAATGCACTTCGGAAACTAAAGGGATCCTGCAGTGTCAGTTACAGTGTTAAGTTTTCACTGTCTTACAGATTTACAGCTCTTGGGCATAATTCACATTTCTTTTATATCATTTTTATTTATTTCCCACAAACGAAGATAAAAGTTATTTCTATAATCATCTCAGAATAGAGTTTATGCTGGCATCAGAATGAACATGACTAAGGGGTTAGAAAACAGACATCCATCTCCCCCCCAAGTCCTCTAAATTCTCTACACGTCCTGACATCCTTTTTATAGCAGCTAATCTTTCACCCAACATTTCACATACAGCCACAAATCAGGTAAGTACCATCGTTTAAGCCAGAATAGGTGAGAAAATATGCTCTGACCTGTCATGTTTCTTTTGCCTCTTGGTGGTTAAAAATCAACCTTTATGGTACTGAGCATGAAATCTGAGGCCTGTCAATATAAGGCCTGTAAATAAACGAGCTATAACCACCCAAAGGGCTGCAGTCTCTATACTCCTTCTTATCAAAAACGTCAGCATTGATGAGAGGTCAGGGGAAATAACCTGAGAAATGTCACAAAGCTGTCCTACTCTCTATTATGCTAAGTGGAGTGACTACGGAGATTACTCACTATTTTTGTGACAGCTTCAGTCCAGAGCTTCTCAACATCTAGGGACCTAGGAGTCATGAAAACAGTTGCTTAAGGCGACCTTCTAGACCCACAATCCCAATGCAAATTTCTCAAAAACATAAATCACTGAATCTTTATTCCTTGCAAAGTAAATGGACTTAGAGCTTCTCTGTAATGCAAGGTACTAGATGGGTTGTCATGATCTAGAGAGAAAGCTTCATGCTTCCTGACTCTATTTAACAAATCTAAGAACTTCTTATTACCAAGATGCACAATTAGAATCTTAAAAGAGATAGTCTGTCTTTCCTTGGAAAAGAAGTATAGCTGCTACTAACCTAAAGTAACCATGAATAAGCATACCAGTTTTACACAAAATATGAGACTTCTGGAAAGCTAGGTGAACATCATACTTACCTACATCCTCTTGAAACATCCCTGCCAAAGTAGCTCAGATATGAAATATCCATGTAAGTTTTCTCAATTTTAATTCACTATTTCACATTACTAGCCTAGCATGAAATAGCAGATCCTCTTCGGTTCCAATTCCCTTAAAACAGTCCTGATTCTTAGTCCTTTTTATTAACATAATACCTTCACTGCTGATTCTGGTGGCTCAGATAGTACCATTCATATTTTAATGACATGTAATCAAGAAATGCTGAGTTATATTTTACTACATACACACTTTTAAATTCAGAGGACATTTGTCCTTGATAATTTTAAATGAAAACTTGGTGTGTGTTTATTATAGCAAGGTAATGCAAATATAAGTTACCCATTCTAATATAACGAAGCTCTAGGGAAATAGGAAACTACTAAATTTGAGTAGTCTTTGCAGTAGTTTGACTATCGACAGAAAAGATGGTGAAAGAATACCTCGCTTTTAACTCAGACCAAAATCCCCTCTGCATGATGACCTTGTGGGTAAGAGGACCGGGGGAGAGGTACGCCAGGCTTTAACAACAGAACTACAGAAATGTATTATTCGCAGGAAATGTGCGACAGTAACGAACGGATGAGACTAATTTGAGAAGGACATAGTTTAAAGAAAGTAAACCGAGTAACCAGTAACTGCAAAAAATAATGCAGGAATGTTTGAGGAGGTAACGTCTCCTAAATTTGACGTTATGGGTGGGAGAGGGTGTGTAACTAAGATGTAATGCTAGCGACAGAACGCTAAGTTTTAAAACTTAATAGTGAAAGAAAAAAGAATGTTCTGGGAGGAACGCCTGGAAGACCCATGCAACTGCTGCACGATATCTCCTTAAGGACCGGAACATTTCTCACCCTGAAGACAAAAGTCCCCGTGTTCTCGATTCAGCCCACATCCCTCAGCACCATTTCCATGCCCGTCATTTAGGCAGAACGCCACGGAGACGACGTTAAAAGTGGAATTCATCATTCTGGCTTGCAACCCATCTTGTTCTTTTGCCAGAACAGGGCACAGCAATTGGCTCCTCAATCTCTGCCCCTCCCAAACCCCGCAGCCAGGCCCAGTCTCCATCCCGCCGGCCTTTGTGGCAAGGGGCTCGCGAGCTCTGGTTGGCTTGGTCGAAGCTTCCGTCACTCGCCAGCTCACCTACGATTGGTTGGCAGAGAGTGCGCGAACCCCTCCGCCTGGCGAGGCACTGGGAGGTGTGCCTGCGGATTCAGCGACAGATTTTTTCCCCGATTGGTTGAAGGAGGAAAGTCACGTGGTACGGGGAGGCTCTCTTATTGGTCGTGAATTGTACCATGGGGTGCAGAGACATGACGTGGTTGGCTAGAATGAATCCCAGCTTCCCACTAGATGCCCCTAGCCGGCTGTTGCTATGAGGTGTTCCTGGGCCTTCCGGCTGCCGGTCGGGGTTCCGCTCTCCAGGTTTTCAATTCATCAGCGGCTGACAGGGCGTGGGAAGAGCTCGACTGCAGTTCGGCAAAGAAAGGGGCGTATCTAGAAGAAATGTGGGCGGGTCCAGAGATTGGTGGGCGGGACCCTGGCGCCGTCAGCGGGCTTGGACCCAACTTCCGTGGTGTGTGGCCGCCTCTGGCTCGCCCCTCTGGGGCGCTGCCAGAGGAGGCTGTCACCCTCCTATCAGTGTCCTAACACTCGAAAGCTTCGTTTTGTTGCGTTTACACAACTTCAGGCAGAAGCCTGTAGGTGCCCGTCCCCTTAAAGCTACACATGCTAATACTAGATAAAACCAAAGCTCTAAAAGTGCTGACAGACTGGGTGGCATCGGGCAAAGGCCCTCGCGGCCCCTCTTGGGCCTTGGGCATCTCTCCCCTTCACTCCTCGCCTCAGGGTAAAGCTTGGAGGTAGCTCTGGCCCCTCTACCATCGCATCTCCGCCGAATTCTGAACGTGGGAGTCTCGGGTTGAGTGCTCCCAGCTCGGGCGGGAACTGCGCATGCTCGGTACGTAGGCCCTGGGGTCTGACTGGGCGCGCAGGGTTCGGCGCTGCTGGGCAGTCGCGGTGCTTGTTTATCTCCGCGCCGGCATAAGCTTCGGAGCCGCGCAGAGCCTCTCGGGAGCGCCCGCGGCCGGTCGCCTAGGCGACGGGGACGGGGGCGAGGCTGCGCCGCGGGCTCCGCCCCGGCCGCCGGGCCCCGCCCCTGGCCGCGCTGCGGCTAGGGCTCGGGCGCGCGCTCCAGTGCTGGGGGTAGCGGCGGCGGCGGCGGCGGCGGCGGCGGGCGGGGATCTGGGCGTGGAGGCGCGAGGGGCGGGGCGGGCGGCACTGCGGGCCCGCGGCTCGGGCGGCTCTGGCGGCTCACGCTCTGTCTCCCTGCTCGCCCTCAGTCCCACCCGGTGCCCACGGGGCCGCATTGCCGCCCGGCTCGGCCCATGCCTAGGGCCGCTGCTCCCTCAGCTGCCGCCGCCGCCGCCGGCGCCCAGGGGGCCGCCGCGGCTGTGAGGTGGGGGCGGCCGCGGGAGGCGGCTGGGCGGGCCGCCGGGGCCGGGGCTGGGGGCGCAGCGCGGCCGGCGTAGGTCTATGTCGCGGGCGGCGGCGGCGGCGGCGGCCGCGGAGGGACGATGCGCGAGTACAAAGTGGTGGTGCTGGGCTCGGGCGGGGTAGGCAAATCCGCCCTGACCGTGCAGTTCGTAACCGGTACCTTCATCGAGAAATACGACCCCACCATCGAGGACTTCTACCGCAAGGAGATCGAGGTGGATTCGTCGCCGTCGGTGCTGGAAATCCTGGACACGGCGGGCACCGAGCAGTTCGCGTCCATGCGGGACCTGTACATCAAGAACGGCCAGGGCTTCATCCTCGTCTACAGCCTCGTCAACCAGCAGAGCTTCCAGGACATCAAGCCCATGCGGGACCAGATCATCCGCGTGAAGAGGTGAGCGAGGGCGCAGGGGGCTTGGCGGCTGCACCCCGGAGTCACCGTCCCGGGGCCGGAACTCCCCGCGCGGGGCTCTGGGGAGGGGGTTGTCTGGGGGGTGGCTCCGAGCTGGAGGCTTTACTATTGTCATTCTGCTCCTCCTCCTCAATATCAAATTCGAGTGCTTTGTTTCACAACTAAAATTTGGCATCCTGTTAGCCCACAGAACAGCTCTTTGTCTCTTGGACGTTGTTAGCATTGCTTGTACAGAGCCCCCAAGGAAACAAAGTTTAAAACTTGCAGAGGGGAAGGGAGTGGATAGGTTTGTGTTGGGAAGAGAGGAACTGTGCAGGTATAGTCGAGACATTTGCAGACTGAACAACAACAATCTGCCTTGGCAATGTTTGACAGCAAAAATCGCTCACACACCTATACAGTAAAGTCAAGTCCAGAGGAAAGAGACCTTTCTCATCGCGTTAAAGGTTTGTGGTTCCAAGGCGTTTTACAAAAATGAAGTCTCTAATTTAGAGCAAAACTTTAAACAGATTATCAAATTATTTGAAGACATCGTAAGCTAAATGGGGTTTCGAGAATATTAACATAGAGGAGTGCAAATAAGCCATTCACAGGAAAAGAATGCAGCTTAGCTGTTTTTCGTTTTTGTTTTTAATATAGCCGCCTTGACTGCTTCAAAAAAAAAAAAGTTCCTGGAAACAAAACAGAAGCTTCTTCAAAAGTGTGACTCAAGTATTAGCTAATTTAAAGTTAACGTTAATAAGCCTTTTTATATATATAAATTGTTTTCTAAAGTATACATTTTGGAAATATGGCTGATTACTTAAATGATTTAAAATGTTTGTTTTCTCTTAAATTCACTGAGTATATTTTTCCGTGTAATTTCAAGCATTAGAAATGTGATAATATCTTAGTTCAAAGTTGTGGCAGATTTTTCTAATTATCGTTTAATTACACATTACCGTTTTATCCAGTTCTTGTTAATGCCTGCTGATAATTTTGGTGTCCTTTTTTTCTTGCCTTATTCTACCTAGAGCTTAAATCTGAAGACCTTTATTGAAAGATGGTTGTAAGTGCACTGTAGACACAATCACATTGTACGTCAGTTTGAGTCCACTCATTTTGAAAGAGCAAGGACCAAGTTATGTGTACCCAGGGGATGCTCAAAACTCATTATGAGTAGTGGGTTTTTAATGCAACCTATGAGCTCCACCCCCGGCTTAACTACTTGAGTATGCACTTTAATAGCTGAACTAAAATTGTGCATGTTATTCATCCTTGTGTTAAATTCCAAACTAGAATAAAGCAGATACTTTCGTGGTCTCTGCTGCTAAGACTTGCGAATTTGATACTTTTTTACTTCTCCAGTATCATTTTCCTAAAGTTAAACTTAGTATGAGGATGGCATTTAAGGCGCTACATTTAAGTGACTTAAATCCTTATTACCCCTTCCCCCAATACCACACAATTAGAAAGAAACAAACCAAACCAAACCAACTGCAGGGTAGTCTGATACATTGCCACATGTCAATGTTAGGCCAAACGCATACATCAAAAAATAATCTAAGTAAATGCCCCAACTTCCTCACCCTTCACATTTAGATACACAGGCATAAAGATGAAGATGCAGATATACAATGATAAAGCCACATACCCATGGCTAACTTCTTGAAGCCTAGGGAACAAATATGGCAAAATATTATTGGATAATATGGTCCACATAATTTTGTAGTTTCTTGTAATTTAGTGCAGATTACTTTTCTCGGTTATAGTAATAGGTTAGTCTAAACTCAGTATATTGGAGCAATTTATTTATTTTCATTATGAACCAAAGGAAAAAAATAGAGTAAAATTCTGCATGCTCAGATATCATTTTACTCACTAGTCTCAGTTCTTGATATAAAAAGATCATTGATCAGCTGAAGTAGAGTTCATAAATTCTTTTCACCAGAATTCAACCATTGTATACGTAAGAACCTCTTGGACCCTCACTTGTGTGTCTTTGTAATGTGGTAGTAGTAAGGTATTTTACACCTCATCGTAATCCCAGCATCTGGCTTCCCATCATTGATGGAGAGGACGTGTGAATGCGGGTTGGCCTCTCAGTATTTGATATCTACTGTCAAATTCAGTATTCAGCTTTAGGTCTAGGTCAGCACTTTTCAACAGAGATATAACGTGAGCCACATATGTAATTTTAACATTCCTAGTAGCTGATTTTTTTTAAATAACATAAATATGTGGAATTAATTTTAATAATGTATTTTATTTAACCCACCATATTTAAAATAGAATCATTTCGACATGTCAATATTCAAAAATTATTGATAAGATACTTTACTTTTTTATACTGTGTCTTTGAAGTTTGGTATGTGTTTGACGTAGTACATCTCAATTCAAACAAGTCACATTTCAAGTGCTCAGTAGCCGCATGTGGCCACAGGCTGCCATATTGGACAACAGAGGTCTAAGGTGTATATGATTTGGGGAAATCCTTGCTTATTTCTCTAAGCTTCAGTTTCCTTATCTGTGAAATAGAGATTAATATGCACCTTCCAGAATCCTTGTAAGAATTAAATGAGATAATGTATTTTAAGATACCCAAAGCAATACCTAGTACACAGAAGTTGTTCAAAAAATTCTAGCTGTCATTCTTACTTTAATAACTTTGTCATTTATCTTCCCTAAATTTTACCCTTGATATAAATGTAATTTTAGAAGAAATAAATTTGTAATTGCATTTTGGAATTCATTATTTAGTATAGGCAAGATGAGACTAAAAAGCAGTGAGGTTAAAATAATCCTTGGAAGAACTGTGTTGGTATTCTCTTTAAATATTTTCTCTTATGAAGGATCTGATGGAAAAGGGCATGAGAATGAACATTTAACTTCAAGTACAGTGTAGCAATAATGCACAGCACTAATGCATAGCCAAACAACGAATGGAGCTTTTCATTTTTCATTTTCATTTCAAATAATAGCAGTCATTTTCAAGGATTTTTATTGAAATGTTTCACTTTTAAGAAATATAAAACTGACCCGTACTCCCTTAAGTGTCTGTAAGTGTACATACCTCCATATACATACATGACCTCTTATC